CGACCGCCACACTTCTCCGGTGAAAATCCCATCGGCAGACTCCCTCCAACCACCTCCAAAAAATATACCACTGCACTGATACGTTGTACCACTGTACTGGTAGATATACCACTGCACTGGTAGCGATATCAGTGCACTGGTAGCAATGTCATATCTGAGTATCAGTGCAGTGGTACAAATACCAGTAAAGTGGTACAACATATCAGTGCAGTGGTATATTTTTGCATGTGACCGGAGAGAGTTTGTCGGCTGATTTTACCGGCGAAGTGTGGTGGTCGGAGGAAACTTGGTGGTCGGAGGCTGCTCGGAAAGGAAGAATCAGAGATAGGAGTGAGAAAGATCAAAGATGAGAGAGAGAAAATTGTATTTTGTATATGTTTAGATTTTTTTAAAAAACAAGTAATTAATGTGGTGTATTTAATGCTTACTTTGTATTTAATAAAAGAACATTTATTATGTTTACTTTCATTAATACTTGTCAATAATTAATGAAAAATTGATCAATTAAAGGGGGTGTCAAAAAACCAACCCCTTAAAGGGTTAGCATGCTAACCCGTCCCTTGGTTTGATGATCCCTCGACGAATATCTAACTAAGGATCATAAATATTTGATTTCGACACCAACATATTCGGTAATGTATGATTCAAAGGCAAATTAATTATCATGCTGTTAAATTATTTTGAAGTTGAGGACTACTTTCAACCTAATTCCGTCACCCACACAAATGAGCAACATATTTTTAGTCACGTTGGTAAAAGTATTCATAGGTTTGCCTATAAACAGACATTCAAAGCCTTCACCTATATACCCCCATCCCATCCACTTTAGTAGTCCTGTCCTAGGGTGGGCATTCGATCGGTTCGGTTTCGACCGAATCGAAATTATGAATACCGGATCTCCGAATTCACCTCGAACCAAATTATAATTCGGTTCGGTGTGTTTTTTCACACAAAATCGAATTTATGAAGCTACTTGTATCTTCTCACTTTTAAATTATTTTTCACCCCTAATATAAACAATAAATACGCAAATATATGCATCATCAATGATAAAATCAAACTTTTCAACACATAAGTCATAAAACATTTCAAATATTTAACTCTAAAAACATCTACAAACATAAAAATCCACCATTTGGAGCTTGCAATTATAGTAGTTCGGTCGGAAATACTATATTTCGAGTATAATAAAAGAACTCTGATTTTTGAACTATCCATATTTTCCTTCCGAATTCCGAACCGAATAGCATTAATTCGATTCGGGTTTCCGAACCGGTTGTTCACCTCTATCCTGTCCACCATAACAACACAATAGACCGTATATAATTTACTAGTGCTTACGGCATCATTATGCTGCATTGATTATTATGGTTATCATGCATGTGGAGGTTTGAGCTGCTATCGATTATCTTCTGGCCTTATCCCAACAACAATTTATGAATGATATTTATGATAAACGCAGTTACCGATGCAATGAGGATCACATGTATGTACCTCTTAAAATTAAATGTCACTGTACCCCATCTGCCTCATGCGTACTATATATACAAATAATTGAAACATATGATTTCCGTGTGGCGGATAGTATATTGTGTATGGACTATGGAGTTGACCCTCGAACAAACAATAACAAGAGATGGCAATGGGTTGAGATAAATAGATACTGGAATGCTTTTTCAATATTTATGCAAGTTTTTAATATTTACTATCTCATTAAAACCTTATCAGCAAAACTTTAAGGGAAGAAACTTTGGTTAAGAAAAAAAGAGCGCAATAGGTTCCTTCGTGGTGAAATCTATCAATTGTTTGGAGTCTTTGAGCTCCAACATCTTTTCACACTAGCTTCGGATTATTTTAATTTACTAATTATGGAATGGGAGAGAGGGCTAGAGCAGAAAAACATTTATTTGGGTCGAACCCAAATTTTGAATCTATTTGAGTCCATATAATTGTACCTATAAAGTTATATCGACCATCTAGCTATTCGCATTAAACCAATTCACACCTTCATTATCGGTCTTTTCACATTTATGTTTGTTATACAAAAAAAATTGCAAAAATTACATTAGAGTTGATATTCATTTTTTTTTTTTGTAGCCAATGTAGTAGGTCTAATTTAGACTCAAACTAAACAGTCGTTTACTGGTATGATCTTCAAGTGATATTACCAAATATGATTTGACTGATAATAAATTGGGTTTGGGAAGAATGTTTTTTTTTTTTTTGCAATTCATAGCGGAGGGAATTTTTTAGGCCACGTTTGGCATTAGTTGTTCATTCACCACCACATCCAACGCTAAGGTATCACGTTCCCATAAGACTTTTAATTTACTTCGAAATGAGATGATCTAAATTTCTTCAGTTTTGGGTTTCAAAATAGTAAATTTGCAATCACTTATTTACATAGTTTCCATCTCCTACTTTTAAATGTGTGAGAGTTAAAGGTTTTTTATCTAAATTTCATAGCAAAATATGGACTTGTAAACATTGGTAGAGGTGAGTGAACAACTAATGATCACAATGATTGTAGCTTTAGTGGTATGGAGGTTGACACGCTAAAACACAACACCTAACAAAGGCCAAGTGTAACCAATGAAAGGGACTGCAGTATAGTGGCTCAAGTGATAAATATCGAATCCACGGGTCTCTAGAGTTACTATTACTCAGCTTCAGTTTATTATTTAGCAAATCAGATTAAGATGAAAGAACTAAAACTACTCTAGCAAACTACAGTTAAAGCTAATCTAATTACAGGTTGGGAACTCACTTAGGTATGATTCCCCCTAGCCACTAGCCAGATTAATGATTGATGATCTCTAACCTGTTTCACTTTCATTCACAATGCGGAGAATCCTTGACTAGACCTTGAGTCTCGACTAAAGGAACAAGGCCCTCTTGAGTCAATTGCCTAGAGGGACGTATCCTTCTCTAGAACAACTGATCAAGGCGTTCTGAACTAGACTCCCTCTATCGAAAGAGGTTCTCAATCGATACAAAGCAGTGAATCAACCCTTGACTAAAGCAATCGATCCACTACTATCAATCTATGGTGCTCTATTGACCTAATCAGGTATTCCCTCTCATAGGATCAAAGCAGAATCAATAATCTCGACTAAAGCAGAATTGAATCATGAAAACATGCATAGATTGAATATGAACTCAAGATTATCAAGTCAGAGTACTCATACAATCATCCAATCAAACAAACATAGCTAGGGTTCCTCAAAACCTAAGTGAAGGGAAGTTACTCCATAGAGAAGAGAGAGACTGCAGTAAGAATCTTCAGATGATCAGTCTTCAAGTCCGGGCTTGTTCCTCAAGCTTCCAAGGCGAAGAAATCCTCCTTCTCTACTCCAAGAATGCCCTCAAATCGCCCTCTCTCTCTTTGGTTCGTCCCTTGGGTGTTTGGGATCCAAAAACCCAGCTCTCCTCCTCTTTGGTTCGGAATTTGGCTTAAAACCAGGAAATCCCGACTCACACGGGCAGGGCCACACGGCCGTGTGGCCTACCTAGTTGCCCGTGTGAGGCAAAACGCACCGTATCACTTAGTCGAATTCCAGGCTTCTCACACGGCCAGAGTGGCACGACCGTGTGTGACTTCCATCTGCCCGTGTTTGCTCTCGGCAAAACTCGCACGGCCAAGCCACTCCTTCACACGGCCGTGTGTGTTGTCAGGGCAGGCCGTGTTTGCTCTCGCACAATCTCACATGGCCAGAAATATGAGTTGCACGGCCGTGTGATTTGTGGGTGTGCCCGTGTGGCCTCCTTTGTGACTTGCCTCGCGCCCGATCTTCGCCCAATCGACCCCGAGCTCGCTCCTAAACCTTCATTTACTTGCCAGGACCTGAAATATCACAAACAAGCACAACCTAGCGTGAAATCGGTCTAAAACACGAGAAACCACATCTCAAACGGTGTAAGAACATGGGTAAAAACATGTGTAATTAACGGTCTATCAAACTCTCCCACACTTAACCGTTTGCTTGTCCCCAAGCAAACCTAACTCAAACCAATGCAGCTCTCCAGACCTCTATAGCAACAAACAACCCAGATCGTAGGTAGAGGACTTCCTAGATCATTTAGCAACTTACGAGGTCAACCAACGCACAAGTCATCTCATAGCTTCTTCGGCGAGAGCACTAGTATCGAGTCGGCATCATGGCAAATAGTGAACAGAGGACAAATGAATTGTGGATGAAGAGATTCTCAAAAACAAAAGATCATGGACTCACATTTTTCAAGGTGCTCTATTTTTTTCTTCTTGAAGATGGTTGGAACCCCTTTTCTTTCTGTTTTGCTTGTTTTCTGTTATTTTTTTCTTTTCTTTTTTTTTCCAAGGGTCCCAACCTGCTCTTACCGGCCATACCAGGAGCGGATGTCTCGAGCCTCGTGCGGGGGAAAGACATGTAAGGGGGCTGGAGGTAGTAGGTGGAAATTGGGAACGGATTCCAGTCTCCCCTTACACACTTTCGCCCTATTCGCACGGGAGACGTTATTTTGAAGCACATTTTCGAGCACCTGTTAAACTTAAAACATGATACAAGAGTCCATGACAGGCAGAGAATCCACAACACCACACAATTCAAGGGTCCTAAGATTACTAATTCACTCAATCAACCAACACAATATGAAGAAGAAATGAGATTTCCTAAATGCATCAACATCCTCCATAGTGCTACACCACCTCCCTAGGTTGCATATTACTATAGAGACTGTCAATTCAAAGCATACTGAGCAGGCAATTGCAAGGAACACGTACTTGGAGCCCTCAAATTTAAAAATTTGGACAGTGGACTAGGCTCCAAGCACACAAACAGCCAAACATTCACCCGCATACATAATCGAACATCCCCCCACACTTAAGCACGACATTGTCCTCAATGGAGGAAAGATAAGGAGGGTAGAACGAAGTTACCAGATCAAGGGTGAATGATGATGAACGGGTCAGGCGGTGCCATCCAGAAAGAGAGAGTAATCAGAACACAAACACCACACAAAATCTCACAAAGGTTGAGTTATTGACTCTAAAATCAAATAGCAAAACTGACTCAACCGAGGAGAAATAGAGACAGAAATGCAAACCGACTGGTTGGGTTGCCTCCCAACAAGCGCTTCTTTCACGTCGTGAGCCGGACGATGGCTCCTAAGTTTCGGTCCATGCTAGAACCTCCTTGAAGTTGAGGTTCTCGTCGATGAGGTGGAGTCTCAAGTCACGAGCATGTGGTGTGGCAGGTGATGAAGGCTCATGTACTTGATGCAGATGAAGTCTCCACCCTCGAGACCTCTCCTTCTCTTCTCTCGTCTCATTGCCCCAAACCAGATATGACAGCATCGATTGGCCACCATCGCGTCCACCAAGAGGGACCGATGTCGAGGTGGCCTTGGTCTGGCAAAGAGACACTGCAAATGGGTCCTTGCTAAGCAGTTCCTCAAAGTTTGGTGGAGATATCACATGTAACTCATGGCCGGTGCAGGCCTCTTCCACCTTAACTCCGTCCTCAGCCTGGACGCCAATTGCTTCTTCAACCCCCCTTTCTTCTTCATGTTGTATCACCCCTGGGAAATGATCAAGAACTCCTCCTGCTTCACTTTCGTCATCCTCCACAACTTCTTTCTGCACCCTTTGTTGCTCTTCTTCTTCTAGCACGGATTGGAGAGCAAGTTGCCAAGCAATTTCTTTCATGAGATCTTCTTGCAACTCCTCACTCATGCCCGCCTCTTTAAAGCGCAGTTTGGGGTGTGGGAAGGTGTGGTCGGCTACGACAGGACACTCCTGATCATGATCATCACGGGAGCTCTCCGTGACAACTTCAGTGTGCTCCACAATGTCCTTGTAGCCTTCTTCTTCCTCCTCCTCTTCTTGTATGGTAGCAGAAGGGTGATCTGGAGCAGGCTGTGCCCAAGATCGCTCAAGATCATCGACGCTCTTCTTAAGGCTCAGGAGGATCTCCTCTGTTTCACGATAGGCCTGGACACAATGATCCATCCTGGAGCATGTTCTATCACAGTCTCGAGCAAACTGCTCCATGAGAAGTCTCAATTCATAGTGTGGATCTGGCTGTGGAGTGTAGTATGGCTCTGCAGAATTGCCCGTGAAGGCCGCCATGGGTAACTCCAGCTCCAATGGCCCCTCTGGTTGTGGGAAAAATTCTTCTTGGTAATGAGGTTGTTCTTGATATGCCCAGGGATCCGGTTGTTCTCCGTAGTAAGGGGGTTGGTACTGGAACCCGAATCCATAGTCTTCTCTTCCTTGATTGCTCCAGGGAGTCTCGGGGTAATACCACTCAGGTGGTGGTGGATACCCCCAATGATTGGAGAAGCCATTAGGATCCATGATTCAGATCTGCACCAACAAAAACACCCAAGTGAAAAGCAAGGGTGGAAAAGAAAAGAAAAACGCTAAAGTAACAAACTTCTGCCTTTCCTAATACTCTAGAAACTCCCCGGCAACGGAGCCAAAAACTTGATGCTCTAAAACACAACACCTAACAAAGGCCAAGTGTAACCAATGAAAGGGACTGCAGTATAGTGGCTCAAGTGATAAATATCGAATCCACGGGTCTCTAGAGTTACTATTACTCAGCTTCAGTTTATTATTTAGCAAATCAGATTAAGATGAAAGAACTAAAACTACTCTAGCAAACTACAGTTAAAGTTAATCTAATTACAGGTTGGGAACTCACTTAGGTATGATTCCCCCTAGCCACTAGCCAGATTAATGATTGATGATCTCTAACCTGTTTCACTTTCATTCACAATGCGGAGAATCCTTGACTAGACCTTGAGTCTCGACTAAAGGAACAAGGCCCTCTTGAGTCAATTGCCTAGAGGGACGTATCCTTCTCTAGAACAACTTATCAAGGCGTTCTGAACTAGACTCCCTCTATCGAAAGAGGTTCTCAATCGATACAAAGCAGTGAATCAACCCTTGACTAAAGCAATCGATCCACTACTCAAATCTATGGTGCTCTATTGACCTAATCAGGTATTCCCTCTCATAGGATCAAATCAGAATCAATAATCTCGACTAAAGCAGAATTGAATAATGAAAACATGCATAGATTGAATATGAACTCAAGATTATCAAGTCAGAGTACTCATACAATCATCCAATCAAACAAACATAGCTAGGGTTCCTCAAAACCTAAGTGAAGGGAAGTTACTCCATAGAGAAGAGAGAGACTGCAGTAAGAATCTTCAGATGATCAGTCTTCAAGTCCGGGCTTGTTCCTCAAGCTTCCAAGGCGAAGAAATCCTCCTTCTCTACTCCAAGAATGCCCTCAAATTGCCCTCTCTCTCTTTGGTTCGTCCCTTGGGTGTTTGGGATCCAAAAACCCAGCTCTCCTCCTCTTTGGTTCGGAATTTGGCTTAAAACCAGGAAATCCCGACTCACACGGGCAGGGCCACACGGCCGTGTGGCCTACCCAGTTGCCCGTGTGAGGCAAAACGCACCGTATCACTTAGTCAAATTCCAGGCTTCTCACACGGCCAGAGTGGCACGGCCGTGTGTGACTTCCATCTGCCCGTGTTTGCTCTCGGCAAAACTCGCACGGCCAAGCCACTCCTTCACATGGCCGTGTGTGTTGTCAGGGCAGGCCGTGTTTGCTCTCGCACAATCTCACACGGCCAGAAATATGAGTTGCACGGCCGTGTGATTTGTGGGTGTGCCTGTGTGGCCTCCTTTGTGACTTGCCTCGCGCCCGATCTTCGCCCAATCGACCCCGAGCTCGCTCCTAAACCTTCATTCACATGCCAGGACCTGAAATATCACAAACAAGCACAACCTAGCGTGAAATCGGTCTAAAACACGAGAAACCACATCTCAAACGGTGTAAGAACAGGGGTAAAAACATGTGTAATTAACGGTCTATCAAAGGTATATTTGAGCTCATACATCAATTAATTGCATCTCATCTATCATTGAAAACTAAGCAAAATTTAGGTAGTCATTCATTGTTATATAAAAGTATTTGAGTAAAATTTGTTTGGAAACTGAAATTGCATGCATTAGTGAATAATAGAGGAGTATATTATACCTATAAACCATTAAAAATATACAATAAATTTGTTCAGTCTAATTTGTTATGACCAAGGTTGTCACTCGATTCCACCAATGAGTCGTTTAAGCAAGTGAGTTAAGGATTAATGGATGAATTGGATTAACCTGGTTAAGCCTAACTTTACCCAGGTGCATGCAAATTTTATTGATTCACAGGTATTATGCTTAGATATTTATGAAATTTCTATGATAAATTTAGATATAATGATGATTTAATATAACTTATTCGTTGGAATTAAGTTTCATTTTTATATTTTTCTCTAACTTGGAACTTATGCTTTAAAATGACGCTTTATTTCTAAATCTCTTCCCTCTTTCTTTTTATCCTTTTCCATTTCTTTTTTCTAGTTTTTTCTTTTCTTCTTTTCATTGCATGTCATATTTCATTCTCAATGTTCTTACTCTTCTTCTCCAATTCGATTTCATGTCTATATACAAATGAGGACATTGGTTTTTATTAATCACACCAAGTCTTAATCCAAATATATGTTCGTCTAATCTTGTGGCTTATTCTTTGTTTGAGATGTGGTTGATTGGCGATGTGACCTTGCTGCTGGAAGGAAATGGAATTGATTACTGAGGAACTGTATTGGCTTTTGAGATGATTTGGACTTGTATTGTTGCCTGCCCATACTAAAGGAGGAAAAGATATTATGAGATAACCGAACACGGGTGGTTGATGCATGTTGCTCCATGGGTCTTTGATAAGGAAAAGGACGACATGTAAACAAAGCTAGTGATTAGATTTGTTGAAAATGATGTCCGTTTGAAGTGATTCAGTGCTTAGATGAGTTAGTTGAATCAACTCGATTTCTTAATTCAACTGGTTTTCTTAGTTTGACCAAGTTTGGGTTGATAACCAACTGGGCCTCCAACATCATAACAAATACTCGGGTTTGGGCAAAACTGATTCGCCCAACCATGTCAAACTTGGGTTGACAATCAGGCTTATGATTCTTGTCTTTTTTGGAAGATACATTGGTTCAAATTCCAATACTTGTTTATTTTCTACAAATAAATAAGTTTAATAATTGTGAAGGCAAATATACCATTGATACTTTCCCTCTCGTTGTAGGAATTTGAAAATGGAAAATACTTTTCTCATTCCAGTCTTATATATTGTATTGTGTTTAGAAATAGACATATATAATGTCCCTAGAAATTCATTAACATGTCAAAAAATGGTTAAATGAACCAATAATTAAGCTCAATCTCGTACACTGATCATTGGATCTAATCATGCCAGATTAGGAACATGTTGAAAGATTAGCAGTTAACCCGGCTAAAACGTTAAAAAAATCAGTCCCATATAGTCTGCATAAGGATATGATTTCTTCATAGTTAATTCTAAAAATTAATACTAATTTAATATTTCGACATTGCTTCGACCTTTAATACTCTGATTTTATATGCAATATTCAACCAAGTGATATATGGGCTGCAATTTTAAAGTTATCCTCTGTTTATAGTATACATTAAAATAATAAAAAATATGAAAGTCGAAGTATCAAATCACCAAATAAGTTCTTATGAGAGATTTAGTTGCTAACTAACCGCTGAAAAGGTATTCTGATTTTTGAGATGTTAGGTTTGTGTATATTTTTCTTTTAAAAGATACAACAAATATATGTAGCGTGATTGGTTGTAGCCATTCCCTCTTATAAAAGTGGTCATGGTTCAACTCCATGTATGTATATATTTTTATTAGTAAATAAGAAAGAAACAAGTAGTTGTAAAGACAAAAATGTCCTTCCTACTTTCACTCTCGATGCAGAAAATTTGAAATGGAGCAATGAGTTTTGGCTTTCACCTTTAATAATAGCTTATAACTCGGCCCGTTGGCCGGAATGTTCATATTTGATTATTTATATTTTTATGTTACATTTTAAGTCTATCAACCCGTTTAATTTTTTTTTACAATCCTTCGATCGAGATAATACATAAAGAAAGCATATATAGGCTGAACACTCGAAGAAATACCATCATCATTTAAGAATATAAAAATGTATCATAGATTTCATTTTCATAATGATAATATTATTAGGGGTGTACATGGGTTGGGTGGTTCGGGTTTAGTCATTTTAATCACCCGACTCATGCACTACGGTTTGGGAAATATTAAACCCAAACCCACCCAAAAAAATTTAAACCCTACGGTTTGTTTATAATTGGGTTGGGCCGGGTTGGAGATATTTTTAAGTGAAAACCCAACCCCACACAAAATATGTAATTATTCTATACCATAAAAATATTTTATAACTAATTAAAATTTTAAACGAATAAACCGAGGTGAAAGGTATCAAAATTCAGAAATGTTGTTTGAATTTTAATAATATGTGATTTACTTCAACATATGTCTAGTTTTTTTCACGATATTTGTTGAAATAGGCTAAAAAGGTTATAAACGAATGCATCCATAATGTGTTATTCTATTAAAATTGTACACAAGAAAAATGATTACGTGAATCATAGCTATATTAAATTTATGTCTAAACTTTAAACTGAAGAATGCATTAGATTAGGGAGACCATGAGAGAAAAATATGGCGAAATATCTTAATTTTCTCATAAGTATTGCTATATACGACATAAATATTTTTTGGATGCGAACTCCTATCAATAATTGGAACACGGGTTGGGTCGGGTTCTACGGGTTGTGTAATACAAAATCCAAACCCAACCCAAAAGAGGCGGGTTGTACAAAAGAAAACACTCACCCAACCCAAAACCTTCATTTTAGCGATAAGTGCGGGTGGACTGGGTCGGGTTGGACAGGTGGGTCGGTTTACGGGTGTGTTTGTTCACCCCTAAATATTATATTGGTTAGTTGATTCTCAAGAAAGATAGAATATAAAACCTCATTGGAATTACCACATGACCCATATATAGTTTGAAACTGAATCTAAAACCTCAGAATCCTACATAAAGGGTTCAATGCTCTCCTTTTAGGAACAATATGCCACTAATAAAAAAAGAAATGGAGAGAGATTGGTTCAAGTCAACTATATACAAAAAACTAAGCTAAGAGGGAACCATCAAAACTTGAGAGCAAACGACAGAATTAGAGTTACCTCCAATATACTAATAGAATTGATCAAAGTCATAAGGCACAAAATTAGACACTCCTTATCTATTAGTTTAAGTAAGTTGAATAAATAATCGACCTACTTCAGTAAATCAATCAATGATTCCTCATTTCAAGATAGAAATAGGTTGTGGTAGTTGCAAAAACCATAAACCTAAAGAGTCAATAGCCACCACTCTCCGTTGAACGGCCAAATTTTTATTTTTCCACTCTATCTTCAATTTCAAGAGGCATATGTTTCAACCAAACATTCACTTTTTAATTTTCCTTCTATAACTCCATTTCTGCTACTTTGATGAACCTTCTCTCCGTGGCCCTCAGTTTCTTTTCCAATTGGGGTTCTTGTCAACTCGCTCTTCAACTCCTCAATCTTCTTCTTGTGTTTTGTCAACTCATATTCCTCAGAGGCAGATGTAATAAGTTCTCTAAAACCAACACTCATCTTCAATTCCATCAATATGTTCATCTCCCCCTTGTCCGCTTTCACCTGCTTTAGTCCACTTCCATGTCCTTCAATACCCTCTCCATTTTCATTAGAATCCTCTTCATCTCTCACTTCTCTCTCTTTAACTGCTCCAGTTTCACTTTCATATCTTTCAATACCCTCCTCAATTCGCTCACTACCCTCTCCAACTTCCTCTTCTCTGCCTTCACCTGCTGCAGTGGAACTTTATCTGCTACCAAATCCAAACACGATTTCTTCCCCCCACCACTTCCATTCTCAAATTCAATTCCAATTGATCTTCTACTCGAAGTTCAAATCATAACTACTTGATTGAATTCCATTCTATTCGACATGGATTGATATCGGATTTGAAATCTTCTACTTGCCCAACTTAAACCGGAGGATTAATTGTCAAATGCGCCCTTGTACTGGGAAGTGAAAGGGCCAAACTATTGCACGATGGAGGCACTTTCGGAGGAAGTTCGAAAGAGATAAGAACAAAGATAAAACAAGTACAAAATTTAAATTGAAAATTGCAATGACACAACACATAGTAAAGAACTAGTTTCTTCCATGTTAGCCAATTACAAATTTACCTTAGCGAAAATTAAGGAGAGAGCATGAAATTTAAAATGGAGAAAATTACATGAAACTCTACTATGAAAATTAAAGTATTAAGCACCATAAAAATACATACGGTAGACTTAGTGGGCTTGTTGATCATGATATAAAAGTCATTCACTTTCTAGAGTTTGACTTTGTGTATGTTTTGTATTCAAATAGAAACAACAAATTCATTTATTTGAAGATACTCGGGTTCAAATCTTGATATTGATATTTTTAATTGAAATAAATAATTAATTGTAAAGACAAAAATGGCCTTCCTACTTTCACTCTCGTTACAGGAAATTTGAAATGGAGAAAATTACACAAAACTCTACAATATATTTATGGAGGATGGTATTGTGGAATGTAGTACTGTTATAGACAAAATTTGCTAGATAGTCATTTAAGAAACTAATTTTTTGGTTCCAAAATTTTCATGAAGTTCATTATTGATGATTGATGAACACACTTCGCTAAAAATATTCTCATGTGTATCGTTTCAAATGATACATGTAATACCACTTTCATATATGACCGTTTAGATTAATCTTTGAGAAATATGTTAAATAATGAACAACTCTATTAAATAAATCATTATTCTCAAAGTGATAATCGTCAATATGTTTGATGGTTACTTTACTCATTTTTATCATTTGGGCATCTTTATATATATATATATATATATATATATATATATATATATATGGATACGACTCGTATGCTCCAGACACATACGATGCTCCAGGCTTTTGCACCATTGATCTAATCTAACGGTGATCATAAATTATGATAAAATTATTTATTAATTATAATTATAATTACTACTTTCATCCATTAAATACTTATATGCGCACTTTAGTCCCCCAACAATTTTGGCCATCGTATTTTGCATTATAGTACCTTGTTTCTTAGCCATACTTTTCGACACCAGAATTTATTTAGTTGATACATTTTTTTCATTCAAAATTTGATTTATTATATTTAATTTATCATCTTATCATTGTACGACACCAACTTCCTCCCAATTCACTGTCACCCTTAGAAGTCAAAACCCAGAAAACATACTTCCCTACGAACGTCTATCCAAAATAAATAATTAACACCATGTTCGAGATCCACCATTCGGCTTCCACTAGGACCTGGAGATTTGGTTATTTCTTGCTCAAGGAACCTTGAAATCCTCTGATTCCCATTCGTCAATCATCATCAAACATCCCGATTAGTTATCTCGAGTTACTCTGACTTTCTTTCTCTTCTGCCAAATTCTGGCTTCGATGGCGATGGTCGCTTCCGATGAGGTGCTTTGTCAATTCTCGTTCTTCTCGATTCTGGGAACTTGGAGTAGGGATTCTAGGTAGCCGGCATATTGACCGCAATTCCACTCGTCCATGGGAGCGCCGCTTCCTCTCAGGGGATTACATAAGTAAATTCACAGTTGGGTTCAATTCGATTTTAGACAGGTTAAAAGACAAAAATGTCGACCTCAATCAATTAAACCCAGAAATTAACAAAACATATTGACGAACCAAGAACGACGAACTCCGAAGGAGAAACCCAGAAAGACGGCATCCACAAATCATGCGGAGAGAAGGTACCTTCAATCAAAGGCCTTGATCTGCTGCTGCATTTACTGGATTCTCTGATTAGGGCTGAGTTCGGGACGAGTCCTCCACCCAGACGACGCCGGCTCGATCGAACGGCAATGGTGAGGTGATCCGCCGCGCGAGAGGGAGGGAGGGAGAAGTGAGGGACAACGAATCTTTCTACGATGGTTGTGGGATTAGGTTATTTGAGATAGGAATTGGGGATTAGGTTTGGAAAGTGGTGGTGACAGAATAGAAGCAGATCGTGGTAATCCAGTCTCCATAATCGTCGAGGAAGCTTTCGCCGATGATGAAGGAAGCGAAACCGGTGAGTAAGAGATTCATGGAGATGGGGGAGTCAAATCGACGAAGAGACTAAGGGATGTGGGGGAACGGAGCGGAGCGGAGGAGAGGGGCTAGAGACGGAGGGTGTTGTTGGCTCTCGCCGGCGGTGGCTGACAAGAAGAAGAAGAAATGACAAAACTAAGAAGAATGGGTGTTCCAGTTATGATTAGAACATTAGGTACTATAGTATAAAAATATATGAAAAAATTTGTATAGGGACTAAAGCACACGTATAAAAATGTAATGGTACCAACTAACTATTTTAAAATGGTAAATAATAAATAATTTAAATAGAATTAATAAACACCGTTAGATTAGATCATCGGTACTAAGGATCTGGAGCATGCTATGCGTCTGGAGCATACGAG